AGGTACTGGGAGTTAGACAGCTGTCACGGGCTGCTTCCTGGGTGTGTGTGTGTGTGGGGGGGGGGGAAGGCAAGAGTGCCACAGCAGGACTCAAGGATGGTCGGGTTCCTCTAGTAATTAACGCTGAAAAATGGTCATAGTGACATGAACGATTATGCCCCGTGATAATTAATCACGGATCACCGCTATAACAGCTTTAGTGATCAAATTCGTCTCCCCCTCTCTCTCTCTCTCTCTCTCTCTCTCTCTCTCTCTCTCTCTCTCTTCTCTCTCTCTCTCTCTCTCTCCCTCACCCTTCCCCTCTCTCCACTCACCCCCTACCGTTGCTCCTTCCTCTCCACCCCATCTCACCGCAGCAAACCCCGGTACCTGCAGCTGTCTATAACCTCTATCATTTATGCAGCAGCAGCCATTAACGTGTCAACAAAACAAACCTATGATTCAAGAGTCGTCGGGCGTCGCGAACCAATAATTAAACTCTTTGGTAATCCATTTGTCCGTTTTCTTCGTGTCAGCCTCGGTGGTGAGGGGTCGGGGGGACTGTGGTATAGTCGCACGTTTTCTTTGATTCCAATATAAAATTCAATGGAATTTTGTGAATTCGTCTTCCATTGTTTGAAAATTTGTTGTAATTAGTGGCTGAACAAATTATTTTTTTTTGTTTCAAACTTCGCATTCAAATCTGTTAAAAAATATTGAATTCACGTATAGAAGTGTTAAGATATTTTCTATTAATTTTAATTGAGGAATTAAAAAAAAATACTATCTGCTATAAGTACTTTATTTGTTTAATAAATTAAAAAAAAAAAGCTTAGCTGGTTGGCTGAGTGACCCTAAGCGTTGTCTTGGCGAAGAAAAAAACTTATGCTTCAATGAAGGGATGCTTCATTGTCTTGTTCTATGTGAGGTCACCGGCGGTGCCCGGGTCGACCATGGCACCAGAAGACTGCACATCTTGGGGGCCTCCCCCCTCCTCCCCCCCCGACCTGTCTATGATTGGCCTTGCTCTCTCTCTTTGTCTCTCTGTCTCTCTCTCTCTCTCTCTCTCTCTCTCTCTCTCTCTCTCTCTCTCTCTCTCTCTCTCTCTCTCTCTCTCTCTCTCTCTCTCTCACACACACTCTCGGCATCAGCGATTTCTTCACAAACGCCCCACGTGGTATTTCAATCCCGGACCGTCCACAAGTGGTGGTGGCCACCATTCCATCCCTCCCCCCCCCCCACGTCCCACCCCAAATCCCTATCCGGCCCCCTTCCAAGTGTTATGTAGTCGTAATGGCTTAACGCTTTCCCCCTAACAGTTCCCTCCCTCTCTCCCCCTGTGGTATTATGGTGAGAAAGTAAAAGGAAGAATGAGGAGAAAACACTAAACAAAAGCCAGAAGCACTAGAGCCCCAATCACTATAGAGCGCCGAGAGGAACTTATATGAACACAGCCAATAAAACAGTTGAACAAATCCACAAGGGCCGTGACGAGGATTCGAACCTGCGTCCGAGAGCATCCCAGACGCTGCCTAAAGTAGTAGTGCAGTAAAACAGTTGTCTGTCAACAGATCATTCCAGTCCTGGGCGTAGAGGTCTGTGCTTACTTCCTGTACACGAGGGGGAGCGGGGGGGGGGGGGGGGGGGTGGAGGGGGGTACTGTATACATGTATACATTACTGTTACATCTATACTCTGCGATGAGTATACATGCAAACCAAGACAACTAACACAGTATGAGAAGGGTTATTAACCCGCCCAAGACGCTATTTATGAGATTTATTAAACCGACATTTATTAAATCATGGTTTACGGGTTGATTAATGACCACTTTATGTTGAGGGAATCTGGGGGGGGGGGAGGATAATTATAATGGCGAGTATTGGAACGGTTAATATCTCAAGAATTATGTTTGACTTGGATGGTAAAATTGTTGTTATATGACTCTTCGGGGGCAGGAGGTAATTGAGAGGAGTACGAAGACAGTATTGTGATCAATAACTTGATTGATCAACTATTCAATCAACCACAATCACAGTAGTGTGATTGTGGTTCCTGAGGGGAGAACTGGAACTGAAGACAAGTAGCATGCTGTTGTTGTAGTTTTAGATTCAGCTGCTGGGAACAAAAAGTTGCACTACCCGGTAGCACGGGCTACCTACCCGGCACAGGAGCGGGGCAAGTAGCACGGGCTATGAGTAGCACGGGCTATGGTGAGCCCGTAGTGGACTTACCTGGCACAGGAGCGGGGCAAGTAGCACGGGCTATGGTGAGCCCGTAGTGGACTTACCTGGCACAGGAGCGGGGCAAGTAGCACGGGCTATGGTGAGCCCGTAGTGGACCTACCCGGCACAGGAGCGGGGCAAGTAGCACGGGTTATGGTGAGCCCGTAGTGGACCTACCCGGCACAGGAGCGGGGCAAGTAGCACGGGTTATGGTGAGCCCGTAGTGGACCTACCCGGCACAGGAGCGGGGCAAGTAGCACGGGTTATGGTGAGCCCGTAGTGGACTTACCTGGCACAGGAGCGGGGCAAGTAGCACGGGTTATGGTGAGCCCGTAGTGGACTTACCTGGCACAGGAGCGGGGCAAGTAGCACGGGTTATGGTGAGCCCGTAGTGGACTTACCTGGCACAGGAGCGGGGCAAGTAGCACGGGTTATGGTGAGCCCGTAGTGGACTTACCTGGCACAGGAGCGGGGCAAGTAGCACGGGTTATGGTGAGCCCGTAGTGGACTTACCTGGCACAGGAGCGGGGCAAGTAGCACGGGTTATGGTGAGCCCGTAGTGGACTTACCTGGCACAGGAGCGGGGCAAGTAGCACGGGTTATGGTGAGCCCGTAGTGAACTTACCTGGCACAGGAGCGGGGCAAGTAGCACGGGTTATGGTGAGCCCGTAGTGGACTTACCTGGCACAGGAGCGGGGCAAGTAGCACGGGCTATGGTGAGCCCGTAGTGCACCTACCTGGCACAGGAGCGGGGCAAGTAGCACGGGCTATGGTGAGCCCGTAGTGGACCTACCCGGCACAGGAGCGGGGCAAGTAGCACGGGCTATGGTGAGCCCGTAGTGGACCTACCCGGCACAGGAGCGGGGCAAGTAGCACGGGTTATGGTGAGCCCGTAGTGGACCTACCCGGCACAGGAGCGGGCCAAGTAGCACGGGCTATGGTGAGCCTGTAGTGGACCTATCCGGCACAGGAGCGGGCCAAGTAGCACGGGCTATGGTGAGCCCGTAGTGGGCCTACCCGGCACAGGAGCGGGCCAAGTAGCACGGGCTATAGTGAACCCGTAGTGGACCTACCCGGCACAGGACCAGGCCAAGTAGCACGGGCTATGGTGAGCCCGTAGTGGACCTACCCAGCACAGGAGCGAAACTGTAACTGCGGAGACAAGTAGCAATATATCCACCTTTAAATACGTCCCTGAATATATTAGCGAGGGTAGAGCTGCTTACTGTACTGAAGACTATAGCAGCGATTCTCACGATAATCGTAGCACTTATTACTATTAATAAGTGAGTATAGACTTATATAGCACTGTTAACAGTAGTATGGTGACTCGTGTTAGTAGCGATCAGTAATAGTGAGACTCACTATTCCACCCTGAGTGTAGTGTTGACATGTCTGGCCCCTCAGTTCCGGCTCTCTTCCAGGGACCAGGTTCACGAAAGCACTTACGCAAGCACTTTCGAACGTGTACATCTTTCCTCAATCTTTGACGCCTTTGGTTACATTTATTAAACAGCTTACAAGCATGAAAATTTGCCAATCAATTGTTGTTATTGTTATAAAAAAAACTTCTGGTGCTTCGGAGCTCATTAACTGTTTAATAATTGTAAACAAAGCCGCCAAAGATTGAGTAAAGATGGACAGGTTCGTAAGTGCTTGCGTAAGTGCTTTCGTGAATCTGGCCCAGGCCCTGGAATAGGCTGAGGCCCAGCAAACTCACAACGGAACGTCCACGGTATTTTTAAGGTGTAACAACGTTGTTTCGAAGTTGTGTGTTGGTTGAGTAGCCTTGAGGCGTATATTGTTGTTGTTGAGATCAACTTCACACAGCTTAATACTAACTCACATCGACTTGAGAATGGTTCAGGGCGGACCGAAACGTCGTCGTCCCTTCACCTTCTAGTGTGTGGTCTGGTCATAACTAACTCACATCCTTTCTCCAGGCCTGGCTGGTAACTTAATTAAGCACAAAGAGGTTTCCTATAAGCCTTCTTTTCCAAGAATCTCAAAAAATTTCACCTTTTCACCTAATATCCGAACCTGTCACCCATCCTGATCTCATCCAGTACTCTCACCCCAACCTCCCTCTACCTTCGCCAATTTCCCCAACGCCAATACTCAATTCCCTCCCCCCCTCCCCATCCCCCTATTCATGGCTTCCATACCTCCCCCAACATGCCTCCCTCTTCCCCCTGAAATGGATAGAGTCTCAAAGCCTCTCTGTGATGGTTCAGAAATAATCGCCCGGAACACCCAAACTGTCCAATTTGCGGCTGTTTCGCAGTTCTTGATTGGGTCATCCATTATAGGCTTATTCTCCGAGGGGAAAATATATAAAACGCAGTCTACCCATAAACCGTTTTCCTATTGGCGGGGGGCGCAGGAAAATCAATCGACTTTGTAACATTTTAATCTTGGGTTCTTAATATTTCTAATAACTTTAATAACAGGGCTCTCGTTTTCTTTCTTCAATACTTTATGTGGTTTTATGTTGATCTTCTTCCAGTTCTTCTCCATCCTCTTCGTTGCCTCCATCTTCATCACCTTCACAGTCTTCTTTTTCGGCGTTATCTCAGTCGTCAGCATCACAGGCATCTTCATCTCGTGCTCTCGGGTGATGCTGTGTTACGACGGGTCGTTGAGGGGTAACTAGTGTTCCTGTAGGGAATTTTGGAGTCATGTTCTCTACTTGTTTTCTCGTGTTCAGGGGTTATAACAACATTAATGTGTTCAGTTTCGTCACCATCATCACCATCACCACCACCATCACCACCACCATCACCACTACCATCAACACCACCACTATTATCACCACCACGACTATTACCACCACCACCATCAACTCCACCATCATTATCACCACCACCACCACCACCATCACCATTATCACCACCACCACCACCATTATCACCACCACCACCACCACCATCCTGTATTTTCGCATCAATTTCCTAGTATTATCTAAATCGAATCACCTTTCAGAAAAGTTCTAACCATTTACATTCCATCTCGTACCTCCGGACCAATCAAAACCCTGTCACACAAGACCCATCGACCAATGAAATTCCTCACTGACAGATCCCTGAACCAATAGAATTCGATAAAACAAAAAACAAGATATTTTTAAAAGTTTTGAAAATAAACCGCTCGAATTGTTCCAACCGAGTCGTAGCAGAATATTACCATATTTATAACTAACGAGTTGGGTGAGTAGGAATTAAGCCTTAAGATGATGCTGTCAGCTCCTGGCGAAGTGTCTAACTACCTCGTTCGCCCCCCCCCAAGAGGCAGCGCAGCGACCTAGATCTTCGTCCAATGGCGTCCATGGACTGAGTATCTTAAGTCGGGGTATTGCATGCAGGTCGTCGTTCAATCCCCGACCGTCCAAGTGGTTGGGCACCATTCCTTCCCTCCGTCCCATCCCAAATCCTTATCCTGACCCCTTTCAAGTGCTATATAGTCGTAATAGCTTAGCACTTTCCATTGATAATTCCCTCCCTTCCCTCTCCACCACATCCTTTCTCTCTCTCTCTCTCTCTCTCTCTCTCTCTCTCTCTCTCTCTCTCTCTCTCTCTCTCTCTCTCTCTCTCTCTCTCTCTCTCTCTCTCTCTCTCTCTCTCTCACTCCCCAGCTCTTTGCTCACCCCCACCCGTCTCTGTCTGTTCACCTTTGTATCTGTCAGAGAGACAGAGAGTGTGTGTGTCCGCCCCTCCCCGTCACCCAGACTAACCACAAGCATCAGAGGCGGTAATAGCCCAGTGATCAATAGACTCGACCCTCCGCTGACAAGCCGAGTCCCACTCATATACACTACACGTATAAATCATTCATTCCTACTCCGGCCGTGACATACACCGAATCAAGAGAGATGGAGGGAGGAGGGAGAATAAGGAAGAGGGGCAGGGTTATGGAGAAGGCGAGGATGGAAAGGGAAGATGGGATAGGTTTGGGAAAGAATAAGGGGCACACACAGACACATAGAGACATATATAGACAGACACATAGCCACTGACACACACACACACACACACATACAGACAGCAGCCAGGCAGACACAGATATAGATATTCTTTTCTATATAGACCCACAACGTAAGTCAATAATTAAAATTATTGCGATGAATGCAGAAGCATATACTAACCCCATGAAAAGAATTAAATATAAAACTAACATTTATATATATACCAAAAAAACTTATTTGTTGCTCACATATTACGTAAGATAACTCTGAATGAGCTGTGTTAAGTTATGAGCTGTCTGAAAACTGCCTTGTTAACAGTGGTTATTCCTCTTCATTCAGACATTTCCTATCTTAAATTAGGGTACAGTTTGTTGGCCTCTTAGACGCGTCCTCCTTGACTATCTTACAGCATCGTAAGTATCTGTTTCTATATAGTCTCCTTATTTGCTCTGTTTAAGTCCTTTGTTTAATTTGTCAACACTTCGTCTCTTCCCGTCTTTCCCCCATCCTTCCCCTATCATTGTTCACATGTGTCCCTTCTCCTTCGCAATTATGTCTTTTATCTAATTTGTCTTCAAATGTTTATTCAATCTCCTTCTTGATATTTCCTCATTCAGTCTTTCCTTTATCCTTATCCATCTCCACTTTCTTCCTTGTGCGTCTTGCTCTCTCCTTATCTCCTTATCAGTCTCTTCCTCCTTATAACCCTCCTGCGTCTGTCTCTCTTCACCGCTCTCCTGGTAATGAGATAAAACCCGTCAGTATTCATCAGCTCCCTGGGTCCTGGGAAGGGAGGGTGTGAGAGAGACAGGGGGAGGGAGGAGGAGAGAGAAGGGAAGGGAGGGTGTGAGAGAGACAGGGGGAGGGAGGAGGAGAGAGAAGGGAAGGGAGGATGAAAGGGAGGGGAAGAAGGAGATAGGGGCAAAGGGAGAGAAAGGGTAGGGGAAAGGAGTGAGAGCAGCAACGATCGAGAGAGGGAGATGAGAGGGAGAAAAGGAAGGTACAGAGGGAAAGAGAGGAGGAAAGAGAGAGAGAGAAAGAGGAAAGGGAGGAGAGAGCGAAGGGAGAGCGAGGGAGAAGGGAGAAAGAAAGAGAAACTGACTTATTGGCATACCATTTTGCTACCAAGATGTAAGTCCCTGATCCTGAACGCCAGCCTCCACATCTTGCCCCAAGCACCGTGTCCAAGATGACTGAAGTGGTTATAAAGCAGGCTGAAGTTCTCCATCTTAAAGCGCTGGACACGACCAAAGCTGTGGGACCAGATAACGTCAGTCCAAGACTACCACGCAGCTGCGCTGACCTGTTGGCTCCACCTCTCACGTGCCTCTTCCAACTCTGCCTAGCTCAAGGAACTTGGCCCTCCTTATGGAAGAAGGTAGATGTTCCAGTACTCAAAATGAAGAGCCGCTCAATGGTTGCTCACTACAGACCATATGTTATTGTTGTTAAAGATTCGCTACATGGAACAAAAAGTTCCAAGTAACACGGGCTATGGTGAGCCCGTAGATAGTTATAATCTACAGACCAGTGTCACTACTCCCCATTACTGGTCAAATTCTTGAAACATTAATCTCTCGGCAAAGACATAATTTTCTGATCATCATCGGCTAATATGTGATCGACAGTATGGTTTTATAAAAGGTCGATTTGCTGTTGATTTCTTGCTAAATCTGTCCTCTCAGTGGCATCAGTCACTGGATGAGTCCAAGATCAGCTGTGTTGTTGCTCTAACACAGCAGGTGTCTTTTGATCAGGTCTGGCACTCTGGATTAGTAGTGAAGCTTCAAGCACTAGGCATCTCAGACTCCATAAATATTAATAAAGGAGTACCTTCAGGAACGGACTTTAAGTGTAAACCTCAGTGGAGCTGAATCCACAAACCACTCAATTGGTGCCAGCGTACCACAGGGAAGGGTGCTTGACCCTCTGCTGTGGAATGCCTATTTCATCGATCTACTGCACCCTATTCCTGAACCTTAAGCCTATGTTGGCGAATGCACGCAATTTACACATGGAACAGAAGACATATCAACTGCTATAAGGGTCATTAATCACCAATTTCCAGCAATATCTGCCTGGGGTCGGAGATGGCAGTTTTCATATGCGGCTGAGAAAACTCAGGCGATGATGATAGCTAGACCGCACATTGCAAATCGGACAGGCTTGCAAATCTGTGGCAAAACCAAGCGTTCAAAGATGAAATTGAAATATTGCTCATGAAGTTTGGCTCTTCTATGACAATGAAGAGCCACGTGCTTAACCTAGCCCAAAAGGAGGCGAGGAAACTTACAGCCCTACGGTGCATCTCACACCTCCTTGACAGCAGGGGCTGCAAAACCTTAAATGAAGCACAAGTTCTCTCTCGTCTAGAGTATGCACCCCTCTCCTGGATTGCCTGCCCCCTCCCCCCCCCCTATCATTTATCAGACCTTTAGACATAGTAGAGAACCATGCAAGAAGGCTCATCTCTAGTCTTGACCAAGTATGGTGGGAATGGTTGGAACATCAGAGCCTGCAACACCATCATGATACTGGTGGACTTGTACAAGGCCAACATTCTCTTAAGTTCAGCACTTGGCCCAACTTCGTGGACAACTAGTAGTTGCCACTCATAGCACTAGGCTCTCCACCTTCAACAGTCTCATGCTGGATGTGCCTTTCTCAAGAACATCACTCCATCAGCGATCATTCACTCCTAGACTGACTCACATCAGGAACTTTGTTCACTCAACAGGTTGACACACGGGAGATCAGGTCAACTGATCACATGAAGGCTCTGGCACACAGTTGGCTACAGGCTCATCCTGTTCCTTATATGATTGTTGGATTTAAATAAAGTTTTTCCTAATTAAAAAGAAAGGAAAAAATAGTGGGAGGCTTCATTTGAGCTGAGGTAGGATACCAGCTCTTCCCTACAGTTACACTAGGTACTTCAATTGACAGCCCTAATGAACTGTCACAAAAATAGGGAGTATTAAGAGAGAGAGAGAGAGAGAGAGAGAGAGAGAGAGAGAGAGTATAGTGAGTCCCTCACAGCTGTTATTAACCCCCCCCCATTACCTCTACCATTTTATCTACATTCTCCCTCCATCATGAGGATTGTGCGTGTTGGTGCGTCACGGCCTCACGCCGGCCTCTTCCTGGGGCCTTTACGAAAACAAACAAAAAATTGATGATACATATATATTGTGGGTTTATGCATAGTTAGGCCTAGGTAAGGTCAGGTAGGTTGTTTTCGTTACGTTGATTTAGAGAGCGTTTACAACCTGTCCTCAGGCCAGGCTCGTTAAAGCGGTGGTCGTCTCCCAAGAAGCGTTCATCAATTATAACAAACTATTAAAATAGATTTTTTCTCTTGATAAATTAATATTATTATTCATTAAAGTTCCATGTATAGTTAAGCGTCGATTAGGTTAGGTGTTTAATTATATTCTGTTGGCAATTATTTTTATTTGAAGTACGTCGGTATGCAACCCGTCCTCGACTCAAGTCCATTCCATCCAGCGGTCGACCCCACAGACGCATTCATAAATTTTTACATGCTGTTCATTCAAAACGGGAATTTTCTCAAACATAAATTAATATTATAATATATTAGCATATTGTGAATATATAGGCATAGGTTACGTTAGGTTAGGTGTTTAGGTTCTGTTGGCGATTATTTGTATTTGTAGTACGTGGGTGAAGCATTTACAGCGTTGTGGTTCGAACAAAATTCTTCAGTGAAGCACTTGTTCCGGAAGTGTTCGGACGTCATCAGTTGTGAGTCGTGTGTAAACCGTTTTTCATTCATAAACAGCTGGGGTTTGGCGGGTGGATGGAATCACTTTTGGGTCTTTGTTTGGAGGACGGGCTGTACAGCACAGGCTGGTGGTGTACGAAGCACACCTCGAGTCTTAGATTCGAACACAGACTGACACATATACAATATACCGTATATTACCATACAAGAGCTTCACCACATGTTTCATGCTCGATACACCTCCTATAAGCTCTTCTCTCGTGGACTTTTAGTGGGTAAACTATCCATTGGAATCCAAACCGGAGCACTATGGAAATCTATTTAGGAACAAAACTATGGTATACCATAATATTAAACGAGAAAAACCACCACTACACCATTACTACACCCCCCACACCACCACTACACCCCCCACACCACCACTACACCCCCCAGACCACCACTATCAACCCCCCACACCACCACTACACCTCGCTACACCACTATCAACCCCCCACACCACCACTACACCTCGCTACACCACTATCAACCCCCCACACCACCACTACACCTCGCTACACCACTATCAACCCCCCACATACTCGGACGCTGAAGCCGGCGTCCCAGGAGGGGGGGGAGGGGTCATAATCAGTAAGAGAAATTCGCTTTAAATGGGATGATTCTGAGCAGACTTCTGGGACGACCTGGCTCGAATTATATTTTCTTCGTATTTTGTCCTTAAAATTCGTGTTTCTACAGTCACACCTCGCTCCACCGCCGTCAACGCCTCGCTCCACCGCCGTCAACGCCTCGCTCCACCGCCGTCAACGCCTCGCTCCACCGCCGTCAACGCCTCGCTCCACCGCCGTCAACGCCTCGCTCCACCGCGTCAACGCCTCACTCCACCGCCGTCAACGCCTCGCAACGCCGCCGTCAACGCCTCGCTGCGCCGCCGTCAACGCCTCGATCGCAACGCCGCCGTCAACGCCTCGCAACGCCGCCGTCAACGCCTCGCTACGCCACCGTCGATGCCTCGCTACGTCGCCGTCAACACCTCGCTGCGCCGCCGTCAACGCCTTGCTCCACCGCCGTCAACGCCTCGCTCCACCGCCGTCAACGCCTCGCTACGCCGCCGTCAACACCCCGCAACGTCGCCGTCAACACCTCGCTACGCCGCCGTCAATGCCTCGCTCCACCGCCGTCAACGCCTCGCTCCACCGCCGTCAACACATCGCTCCACCGCCATCAATGCCTCGCTCCACCGCCGTCAACACCTCGCTACGCCGCCGTCAATGCCTCGCTCCACCGCCGTCAACACCTCGCTCCACCGCCGTCAACACATCGCTCCACCGCCATCAATACCTCGCTCCACCGCCGTCAACACCTCGCTCCACCGCCGTCAACACCTCGCTCCACCGCCGTCAACACCTCGCTCCACCGCCGTCAACACCTCGCTCCACCGCCGTCAACACCTCGCTCCACCGCCGTCAACACCTCGCTCCACCGCCGTCAACACCTCGCTACGCCGCCGTCAACACAGGCAAAGTGGCACTCGCCCTTTGGACGTTATAATCCGTGAGGAAATTCACAGAAAATGGAATGATTCGAAGCACACGCTCGAGAAGACTCGACCCCGGACTTGAACTTTCCCTTTCCCCCCTCTCCCCGTGTTTATTTCTACTTGTCTCTGCACCCACCGGTGTTCAAACCCGCTGTTCAAAACCGGTGTTCAAACCCGGTGGTCAAAACCCGTGTTCAAACCCAGTGTTCAAAACCGGTGTTCACAAATATGGTGTTCACAGGAATAAGGATATTTTTTTTCGGATTCCATAAGAGGAATGTCGCCAAAATGGGGTCAAGTTGTGTTTTATTTTCCCAGTTGCATAGCACTGTGCCACACACCTGATGGGGCATCAAGACTGTGCCACACCTGATGGGGCATCAAGACTGTGCCACACCTGATGGGGCATCAAGACTGTGCCACACCTGATGGGCATGAAGACTGTGCCACACCTGATGGGGCATCAAGACTGTGCCACACCTGATGGGCATTAAGACTGTGCCACACCTGATGGGCATTAAGACTGTGCCACACCTGATGGGGCATCAATTAAGACTGTGCCACACACCTGATGGGCATCAAGGCTGTGTCACACACCTGATGGGCATCAAGACTGTGCCACACCTGATGGGCATCAAGACTGTGCCACACCTGATGGGCATCAAGACTGTGCCACACCTGATGGGCATCAAGACTGTGCCACACCTGATGGGGCATTAATTAAGACTGTGCCACACACCTGATGGGCATCAAGGCTGTGTCACACACCTGATGGGCATCAAGACTGTGCCACACCTGATGGGCATCAAGACTGTGCCACACCTGATGGGCATCAAGACTGTGCCACACCTGATGGGCATCAAGACTGTGCCACACCTGATGGGCATCAACATGTAGTGATGGACCGCCAGAAAGTACCAACATGCAGTGATGGACCGCCAGAAAGTACCAACATGCAGTGATGGACCGCCAGAAAGTACCAACATGCAGTGATGGACCGCCAGAAAGTACCAACATGCAGTGATGGACCGCCAGAAAGTACCAACATATAGTGATGGACCGCCAGAAAGTACCAACGTGTAGTGATGGACCGCCAGAAAGTACCAACATGCAGTGATGGACCGCCAGAAAGTACCAACATGTAGTGATGGACCGCCAGAAAGTACCAACGTGTAGTGATGGACCACCAGAAAGTACCAACATGCAGTGATGGACCACCAGAAAGTACCAACATGTAGTGATGGACCGCCAGAAAGTACCAACATATAGTGATGGACCGCCAGAAAGTACCAACATGTAGTGATGGACCACCAGAAAGTACCAACATGCAGTGATGGACCGCCAGAAAGTACCAACATATAGTGATGGACCGCCAGAAAGTACCAACATGTAGTGATGGACCGCCAGAAAGTACCAACATGTAGTGATGGACCGCCAGAAAGTACCAACATGTAGTGATGGACCACCAGAAAGTACCAACATGCAGTGATGGACCACCAGAAAGTACCCACATGTAGTGATGGACCGCCAGAAAGTACCAACATGTAGTGATGGACCGCCAGAAAGTACCAACATGTAGTGATGGACCGCCAGAAAGTACCAACATGTAGTGATGGACCGCCAGAAAGTACCAACATGCAGTGATGGACCGCCAGAAAGTACCAACATGTAGTGATGGACCGCCAGAAAGTACCAACATGTAGTGATGGACCGCCAGAAAGTACCAACATGTAGTGATGGACCGCCAGAAAGTACCAACATGTAGTGATGGACCGCCAGAAAGTACCAACATGTAGTGATGGACCGCCAGAAAGTACCAACATGCAGTGATGGACCGCCAGAAAGTACCATGTACCAGTGCAGTGATGGACCGCCAGAAAGTACCAACAGATAGTGATGGACCGCCAGAAAGTACCAACATGCAGTGATGGACCGCCAGAAAGTACCAACATGCAGTGATGGACCGCCAGAAAGTACCAACATATAGTGATGGACCGCCAGAAAGTACCAACATATAGTGATGGACCGCCAGAAAGTACCAACATGTAGTGATGGACCACCAGAAAGTACCAACATGCAGTGATGGACCGCCAGAAAGTACCAACATGTAGTGATGGACCGCCAGAAAGTACCAACATATAGTGATGGACCGCCAGAAAGTACCAACATATAGTGATGGACCGCCAGAAAGTACCAACATGCAGTGATGGACCGCCAGAAAGTACCAACATATAGTGATGGACCACCAGAAAGTACCAACATGCAGTGATGGACCACCAGAAAGTACCAACATGCAGTGATGGACCGCCAGAAAGTACCAACATGCAGTGATGGACCACCAGAAAGTACCAACATGCAGTGATGGACCGCCAGAAAGTACCAACATGCAGTGATGGACCACCAGAAAGTACCAACATATAGTGATGGACCGCCAGAAAGTACCAACATGTAGTGATGGACCACCAGAAAGTACCAACATGCAGTGATGGACCACCAGAAAGTACCAACATGCAGTGATGGACCGCCAGAAAGTACCAACATATAGTGATGGACCGCCAGAAAGTACCAACATGCAGTGATGGACCGCCAGAAAGTACCAACATGTAGTGATGGACCGCCAGAAAGTACCAACATGCAGTGATGGTCCACCAGAAAGTACCAACATATAGTGATGGACCGCCAGAAAGTACCAACATGTAGTGATGGACCGCCAGAAAGTACCAACATGTAGTGATGGACCGCCAGAAACTTGACTTTTATATTACTAAATTTGAACAAACCGGAAACTTTTTTTTTTAATCTCAATATACAGCCCATCCTCCTGTTGTGGTAGTACTGATAGTAACGATGAGGACCATAGTACATATATCGACGTACAACGAAATTAGAAAGTAGAAATATGAACTATTGAGTTGGACAAACCGGATTTTTTTTTTTACTTGTGTTGCTTTGACAAACTAACCTATCCTTATGAGTTCTAATAGAGTACATATTTGTGCCATAATAGGCCTTGGAATATTTAATATATTCATTTATTTTAAAAGAATTCCTTACTAGTCAGTATACTACTATCTAAAAGCTAAGAACGTACGAATTCGTGACTATTGACGATAGTCACAATAGGTACTATCTAAAGAGGAGGGTTTGTTGTAATATAAATATAAGACCTGATCTAACCTCTCCTAGCAGTCCAAGGCCTAATACACCTTATCGTAAGCCTAGGAAGATTTAAGCTTGTTTTTTTACCTAAATTTTTCCCAGATTCAATCACATTAATAGTACCAAATGTGGTTTTCTGGTGGTCCATCACTACATATTTGTACTCTCGACATAATAGTCTCTCTAACTTATCATTTCAGGAGGATGGCTTGAAAATTTCAGTTATTTGGTTGTCTGGTGCGTAAGTCACTGTACTGACTTATTAATATCTACGTATATTAAATTATATTAATTAAATATTAATTAGATATGTTAATATCTAAGTGGGTATTTGACTCACAGTTCGTTTCTATCTAGTTTTCAGAAGAAACTAACTAAAAATCTGTGTTTCGAAGCATGACCTTAAGACACCCAACTCACACATCGGAAACTAAACGAAGTTACGACGTTTCGGTCCTTCTTGGGTCATTAAAAAAACGTGATAATGGTCCAGGACGGACCGAAACGTCACCGTTATACTGGGCGCTTAATTTAGTCACGTTATTGCGAGTTTCTGTCTGCACGAGGCCTCAGATGGGATGATTTTGATTCAATTCTCAGACACCATGATACTTCTTAACTTTTTCTTACTATCTTTAACATTCTCATGATACCTTTGGTGGCGAAGAAAAACATTTTTAGAACGTACTCCAAATATCTGACGTAGCCAATCTCTATAGCAACTTAATTCGTTCCAATCATTATTTCATTGTTCCCTCCTCACCCCCTTTCTCGTTTAACCTTCTTTCTGTCTCTCTCTCTCTCTCTCTAGGAGAAAGAGGTGGGGATTGCCTCTTCCTCCTGGAGAGAGGAAGAGGCAATCTCCCACCTCTTCTCTCTGTAGGAGAGAGAGAGAGAGAGATTGAGAGAGAGAGAGGAGAGAGAGAGAGAGAGAGAGAGAGAGAGAGAGAGAGAGAGAGAGAGAGAGAGAGAGAGAGAGAGAGAGAGAGAGAGAGAGAATGATTGGAAGCATGTGAGAGAGGCGGGGGTGCCTGGCCTGGCCTCAGCCACGGTAAATTCCCCGGCGCCCTCCCCGTGGACCAAGCTTCGGGTTCTTCCGTAATTGCGTCGGACAGAAACGTCAATTCCTTTCCCAGCTTAAATTACACGAGTACATATTATGACAGGGGGGGGGGGGAGGGACTTTGGCTCTTCCTGCCATAGTGGCTAAAGTCTATTTTCGTAGAGGACGGAAATTGGTAAAAAAAAAGGGTTCTGTTCCTTAGATTTTTTATATAATCTATTTTAATAGATTGGTTTAATGAAGGGTGGGGGGGGGGTATATCCTCTATAAACGGCAGGGAAATATGCTAAAAATATATTATCATCATTGTTTCAACACGAAGAATGAGTAGATTTAATTTACCATGTTTATCAGTTAATATTGTTTAATTTTATATATAAACCCCCTCTTATAAAAAATATTATTATTATTATTATTATTATTTGTTTTATTAGTAGCAGGAGTAGTGGCATAAAATATTTTTGTACGTTTAGTTGCTTGCGTACGTTTGAACGTCAATGGTATTATTTTGACGTTATTATTTTGTCGTTTGGGGCCGG